AGAACTAGAAAGGCGAGGCTTCACCACCCATTTATCCCTCCGCCTTTCAACCAGCACCACATGTGATTATCGGCCAGGCTGGCACAATTAACTAACTCACGGGGTAACAACAAGGGAATCTGAATAAAGTATGGGTTAATAACAATGTATCAACCTTGATTCGTTAGTGATACTAACAAGAGAAATGAGCGCCAGGTGAATGGGAACTTGGTAATATTTTTGCTGTTTCCGCAAATCTAATTTTTAAAAATATTCTAAAATAAAAGGTGTATTTCTTTTCAATGACCTCAAAGATGTGTCTTGAGCATCGGGGAGGCCGAGGTGCTGTTTTCTGAGATGTGGAAGGCGAGGAAAGGAAGACTGTTGGTTCTACCCTGTTTCCCCCAAAATAAGACAGTGTCTTATATTAATTTTGCTCCCAATGATGCGCTAGGTCTTATTTTCAGGGGATGTCTTATTTTTCCATGAAGAATACGGTATACAGTTACTGTTGAACAAAAAAAGGAAAATTTATTACCTGTATATGGTACGGCAGTAGTTGTCATCACAAACCAGCATAACCAGACAAACTGTGAATCCTACAATATCAAGAATTTGTTACTACCATTATTTCCATGTACAACAATCTATGGTACATTTACTCATAATCTATGGTACATTTACTCGTGCTTCCTGTCTGCTCAGGCTGCGCTGCGGCCAATAGTGAGCTGCGCGGCTGCGCCTGCCACTATGGTCCAGAGTCCAGAGTTATGGTAGCTTCCAGGGACCTTATTATCCAGAAGGCCTTATATTCGGTGGTCTTATTTTCGGGGGATGCCTTATATTTCAGCGAGAGGCAAAACTGTAAGTAGGTCTTATTTTCGGGGGATGTCTTACTTTCGGGGAAACACGGTACTTCTGCCATGGTAAGTGGGAGGAGACAGTGAGACTCTCCAACAGACATCAGGGAGGCAGCTCTGGCGCAAAGCTCAGCAGAGAACTGAGTTCAAAAAAATAAACTGAGGCACTCTTGGCAAATTAAACTATGCAAATGGTTAAGATCATCTACATTAAGACTAGATATCAAAATGAGAAGGGGGTAGGTGTAAATCCTGAAAACTAGCCATATCTTTAATGGTCACTGAGTTAGTTAATTGTGCCAGCCTGGCTGATAATCACATGTGGGGCTAATTGAAAGGCAGAGGGATAAACGGGTGATAAGCCTCGCCTTTTTAGTTCTCGGGTCTCTTGTTTTGTGATGGTTGCACCGGGTGCAGCTGCCTAGCAGTTCCCTGCTTCAGCTTGCAAGATTGACTTCCTACAAGACATCCCCCTTGTAGGAGAAGCTACATGGACCTATCCCGATGCAGCCCTGGGTGCTGGAGCAGCCATGTGGAGACCCCTGATAGTGCTGAGATGCTTGTTCGTTCACTAACTCAGCTTTCCTCCTGCAGTCAGCATCATTGCCTCTGTTTTGTGAGGTGGAGGACTTTGTGGACTGGTGTTGGGTTAATGGGTTAATGTTGGACTTGTGGGCTTGGGCAGCATTGGGTTGGGATGTTTTCATGATGCACATTTTCTTTACATAAAACTCTCTTATACATGAGTTGCTGTGGATTTGTTTCTCCAAAGTACCCAGACTAATACAGTCACACAGATAAGATAAGATGGTCTAGGATCAAGAACTAAGGAAATTCCATCTCTAGACACTGAGTAGAGGAGATCAAGAAGCATCATCAAGTCAGTGGAAGAAAAGCCAAGGGCATCCATCATCCTAGAAACCAGAGAAGGGAAGGCATGCTGAAATTAGATGAATACAACTGAGAAACCAAATACATTAAGCCCAGAAAAACGCTCCTTGTATTGAACAACACTGAGATCACAATAATCTAACAAAGGCATTTCAGCTGGAAATTTAAGAAAATTCAGACTGGAGTGGTTGGATAAGTGAGAAAGTGGATAAAATAGTTATTTTAAGAAATCTGGTTCCCCATCACACAGTTGGATATATAGCCCACACCCACCCCCCACCCCCAGAAGACGACAAATAACAGAAAAGTGGGTAAAGGGAGACAACGGACAGTGTAAGATATGAAATAATAACAACAATTATAATTGGTCAAGGATTCACAAGGGTGGAAGGGTAGAGGAGGGAGGGGAAAAAAGAGGAGCTTATACCAAGGGCTCAAGTAGAAAATGTTTTAGAAATGATGATGGCAACTTATGTATAAATATGCTTGATATAAATGATATGTGGAATGTTATAAGAGCTGTAAGAGCCCCCAATAAAATGATTTAGAAAAAAGAAAAGAAATCTGGTTCTCAGATATTAAATCCATGTTAAGTTAAAAATGACTATCATGAAAAGACTTTAATGCTAGTGCATTATGTGTCAGCGCCCCCTAGCACGTATGCAACATGATGCAAAAAGAACAAAGCCCAAACCCACTGTCATGAAATTGATTTTGACTTATATATGGACCCTATGTAGGGTTTTCCATGCTTTCTAAATCTTTATAGAAATGAACAGCCTCATTTTTCTCCTGAGGAATTACTGGTGGATTTGAACTGAGCAGTTAGTGGTCCAACATTTACCTAACACCACCACTAGAGTTCCTTATACAACACACACTGTCTACAGGTGTGCTGAAGCAGGGATTTCCCCCTATCCCCCTCTCCCCACCCCCAGCCCGACTACGACCTAGATTCCTGATCAGTAGATCTCACCTCAAGTCCTTCTCCACTTACCCATCATGGCCTATAAACATTTTGATGTGAGAAGGATTGGAAAACAATGGCTAGAGCAGGCATCCTCAAACTATGGCCCGTGGGCCACATGCAGCCGGCCGAGGACATTTATCCAGCCCGCCGGGTGTTCTTGCCCCGTTTGTTTTTTTACTTTCAAAATAAGGTATGTGCAGCGTGCATAGGAATTTGTTCATAGGTGTTTTTTTTAAAAAACTATAGTCGGGCTCTCCAACGGGTCTGAGGGACAGTGAACTGGGCCCTGTTTAAAAAGTTTGAGGACTCCTGGGCTAGAAAAATGAAGATTACATATTGTTTCAATTGTATCTTTAGTGGCAAAAGAGCTACTTTTATTAGTCATCGTATCATCCCACAGGAGACCTGATGGCACAGTGGTTACATGTTGAGCTGCTAATCACCAGGTCAGTTGTTTGAAACCACCAGTCCCCCTTGTAAGACAAAGATGAGAGCTCTCTATTCCCATAGTTACAGTCTCAGAAACTGACAGTTCTAAGTTCTATACGCAGGGGTCCTCAAACTTTGTAAACAGAGGGCCAGTTCACTGTCCCTCAAAGCCGTTGGAGGGCCGGACTATAGTTTAAAAAAAACAATGAACAAATCCCTATGCACACTGCACATAGCTTATTTTGAAGTAAAAAAGCAAACGGGGCAAAAACACCTGGCGGGCCGGATAAACGTCCTCGGCGGGCCGCAGTCTGAGGACCCCTGTAGCGTCTCTATGAGTCGACACTGACTCACTGGCAGCACGTTTTGGTTGTTGTTGTTAGGTGCTGTCCAGTGGATTCCAAGCGGCAGCAACCCTCTGTGCAACAGAGTGCAATATGCCCACTTCTGTGGCACCCTCAGATCCTCTCCTATGTCTGCACACACCGTGGGAGCTACTGTGTCAATCCATTTCATTAAAGGTCTAACTCTGTTTTGACCTACTTTACCAAGCATGAGGTCCTTTTCCAGGTACTCTTCTCTCCTACATATCCAATGTTTGAGAGACTAGATTCTGCCACCGCAGATCCAAGGAGCAGAGATTCTGGCTGTACCTCCCCTAGGGTAAGACTTGTTTGTTCTACTGGCAGTTCAAGGTACTTTCAGTATTCTTCACCAACACCATAATTCAAATATATCAATTCTACGGTCTTCCTTTTTCACTGTGCAACTTTCACGTGACTCTGAGCTAACTAAAAATACCATGGCTGGGTAAGGCATACCTTAGTCCTTCTCAAAATGATGTCTTGATATTAAAATGTTTAGCTCTATTACGACTCTTAAAATGAAAATGTAAAACAAAGAAAAAATCTAGGAAGGGTATTTAATAATCTTGTGATGGGGAGGGATTTTCTAAGCGTGAGGTCAGACATTTCTTTTTCAAAAGAAATGCACAGATGTCTGAAGAAAGGGGCTGAAGAACCTACTACCAAAAAGGACAAAAGGCTGGCAGCTAATTAAAAAGAAGTAACTTCAATGGCCCAAGCATGAAATCTCAGGGAAAGACTGGAAATACCAAGTGCTGGCAAGAACCTAAAGAAATGCACTCTTAAATTAGCACGGCCATTCTAAAGGGAACATGACAAAACTTTGGACGCTGAATGAGTAGCTATCCTAGGACTCAGCCCTAAGAAAGTAACTGTGCAAAAGTAGGTGTGCAAGATTGCTAACTGTATCCTCCACTACAGGAGCAAACTACTATGACAGCCAATAAGGGGCTGGCTTTAAAATATTCTGGAAAATCCATACTAAATAGTTAAGACACACACACACATGTCCACACTGCATTGTGATGAGGAGAAAGTTAAGGACGAAGTATGCAAGATTCTGTGTGTGTGTGTGGGGGGGGGGGGAGTGCACATATCATACCCACCTATTTAAACTTGTGACTTAACATATTTTAAAAGTCAAAAAAAATTAAAACCAATTGTTATACATATATATTATATATAAAACAATGGCTGTTTTCCAGATGTTAATTTTCGGGGAAAGTTTAGATTTTTTATTTTCTGTGCTCTTTCTTCATGAGCCCTGGTGGCCTAGTGGCTACACATTCAGCAGCTCAAAACCACCAATTGCTCTGAGGAAGAAAATGAAAGCTTTTTTTTACTCTGAAAAAGAGTTATTGTCTCAGAAACCTACAGGGGTTCACTTCTAGTCTGTGCTATAGGGTTGCTATGAGTCAGAATCAATTCCATGACCGTGAGTTTGATTTTAAACTCCTTTCTTGTTAGAAGCAAAATTTCAAGAGACCAGGCTTACTGGCTGAAACGAGAAAGGTGGGTCCCTGAGGCGGTGGCCCTTATTCTTCTAGCCTGGAACTGAACTGGCCCGTATGGTAGAATAATCAACCATCTAAGAGCACAGGGGCCCACTTACCCAAAACAAAGTTCAAAGAGTTAGGGAAAAAGGAGGCCAGAAAACAGAAAGCTCAGGGAGGAATTGAGATTAGTGATAGCACATTGAGGGGATTTCCATCAATGAGTTAATACAAAATGTGAACATATTTTTAATGTAAAATTGGTCATCTCGTCTGTAAACCTTCACCTAATTTAAAAGTTCTTTTAAAAAAGAAAAATGTCATTTTTGAGGACTACAGTACACCTATCCTCAAAAATGACATCTTTACTTTTTAATTTTTTTTTACTTGTGAAAGATGAGGATTTCTGCTCCCGTAAAGTGTCTCGGAAAGCCACAGGGCCGGTTCTGCCATGCCCTATATGGTCACCATGAATCAGAACCGACTGGACAGCAATGAGTCAAGTCTCCTTTCCTTGTTAATATGCAAAGTTCTTCAAATACACAAAAACTTCCAACTAAGTCTATATGG